AAGCATTGCAGCGACCTATTAATTGAATGAGATATGTGTTAATTTGTGAACTTAAAGGAGACATATTATGCCCCTTTTCAGGTTCATAATTGTATTTTGTGGCTCTACTACAATAGGTTTAGATGTTTTAATGTTCAATTATATTTTATTTTTCTCATACTCTGCCCCTTATAGCTGAGCACCTCTTTTCCAGCCCCTGTCCTGAAAACGCTCGGCTTGTCAGCTCCTGTCTCTTCTAAGGCTGTACTCGTCCCTCCCATCTGTCTTATCATTCTTTATACACATAAGTTTACTGAGACCCATGGAAACTTACCATAATGAGGCAGGTTTCTGGAATACTTTAATCCCTGTCACACATGTCAACATAACTAAAGGAATTAACTCATCTAACATCAAAGTCAACTTGTTTATGGGTGGTTGAACAAACTGCTGAGTCACCTAACTGTACTCGTAATCCATCCATTTCATAGTCTGATATTTTTTAACTTGAAAGTATTACTGACCGAAAGTTTAACCTTCAGATATTGTAAAAAGCTGCAATTATCGTCTTTCAACCCCATTCAAAAATACTGGTATATACTATTATATATCATATATATCTTTTTATATATATATTATAATTAAATTATATTATCATATTAAAAAATGTCATTTATCTTCCAAACCATAATGAAACAGCTTTGAATGTGAGACACGTAATCAATGTATTAGTGGTTGTACAGTCATTTACTACCGGTTTAACATTTCACATTTTCCATATTGATGTTACACGAACCAGGTTTTCAACTCTGCTGTACCATGCAGTCGCAATCTTTATAAAACTCTGTGAAATAACATGTATTACTTACTATAAACACCCACGACTTATTACTGGATTTAACTAATAATGAAACAAACTTCTTAAAAATAAAAACACTCTTAAATGTTTCATCTCCGATATTCCAGTTACCATGGTTGCAAGTAACCAAAAGCCTTCAAGGTTTATGGTTTCTAGTAACGTGTGAGCTGGTAAACTCGAAGCTCTGCAAGTCGTGTTCATCTTGAATGAGTCTCCTTTGCGATACCCAGACTGTGTCCTGATGCCTGCTAGCTGTCCTCCTGATGGTCCAGGAACAACCTGAACAGTTATAAACTAAAATAATAAGCAGTGTCTCTGGTGGGTCACCTTGTTGCAGCTACAGCCTGTAGTCGAATGTGTTGTCTGGGTTACCACACAAAAAATGTGTAGCTAATGGCAGCAGATACACCCACACAGGACATTGGTACTCCGACTGTAGCGCTGATGCCTGTGACAAGTCCGGGTCAATAACCCCAGACATTCCAGCAGTGAGCCCTCAGTGTTGTCGTTCATAAGTACAATAGGAGATGATATGAGTAGATGCTTACCACTGGACCTGCACTTATATCACTCAGTAACATACAGCCACTAACTCCGCAGTAACACCTAAACTACTATCGGATCAAAAATACTTTCATCTAGTCGGCGTTTGCCACTCCAACAAACAAGATCTAGTGGATCCATCAAAGTGTACACCAATATTCACTGAACCAATGAATCCTCTGCAGTTTGACTATTCTCTCCTCACCAGTAAGCCTCTGTTTAAACTCCGGTGCACGTAGATCAAGTTATTTACACACCGTAACACACACACCGTAACCACACACGGGAGCCGACCAGAAAGTACGGGCCAGAGGC